TGCATGGAATCTCATGTCAACTTACCAGGGAAGGATATGCTGTGTTAACTGACATGAGACTCCTGTCACAATACATGGAATCTCATGTCAACTTACCAAGGGAGGGTATGCTGTATAAACTGACATGAGATTCCTGACTCAGTGTATGGAATCTCATGTCAACTTACCAAGGGAGGGTATGTTGTATTAACTGACATGAGATTCCTGTGACAATGCATGGAATCTCATGTCAACTTACCAAGGAAGGATATGCTGTGTTAACTGACATGAGACTCCTGTCACAAAACATGGAATCTCATGTCAACTTACCAAGGGAGGGTAAGTCGTATTAACTGACATGAGATTCCTGTCACAATACATGGAATCTCATGTCTACTTACCAAGGGAGGGTTTGTTGTATTTATTGACATGAGATTCCTGTCACAATACATGGAATCTCATGTCAACTTACCAAGGGAGGGTATGCCCTATTAACTGACATGAGATTCCTGTAACAATACATGGAATCTCATGTCAACTTACCAAGGGAGGGTAAGTTGTATTAACTGACATGGGATTCCTGTAACAATACATGGAATCTCATGTCTACTTACTAAGGGAGGGTATGTTGTATTAACTGACATGAGATTCCTGTCACAATACATGGAATCTGATGTCAACTTACCAAGGGAGGGTATGATGTATTAACTGACATGAGATTCCTGTCACAATACATGGAATCTCATGTCAACTTACCAAGGGAGGGTATGCTGTATAAACTGACATGAGACTCCTGTCACAATACATGAAATCTCATGTCAACTTACCAAGGAAGGGTATGTTGTATTAACTGACATGAGATTCCTGTCACAATACATGGAATCTGATGTCAACTTACCAAGGGAGGGTAAGTTGTATTAACTGACATGAGACTCCTGTCACAATACATGGAATCTCATGTCAACTTACCAAGGGAGGGTATGCCCTATTAACTGACATGATATTTCTGTCACAATACATGGAATCTCATGTCAACCTACCAAGGGAGGTTATGTTGTATTAACTGACATGAGATTCCTGACACAGTGTTTGGAATCTCATGTCAACTTACCAAGGGAGGGTATGTTGTATTAACTGACATGAGATTCCTGTGACAATGCATGGAATCTCATGTCAACTTACCAAGGAAGGATATGCTGTGTTAACTGACATGAGACTCCTGTCACAATACATGGAATCTCATGTCAACTTACCAAGGGAGGGTATGCTGTATAAACTGACATGAGATTCCTGACACAGTGTTTGGAATCTCATGTCAACTTACCAAGGGAGGGTATGTTGTATTAACTGACATGAGATTCCTGTGACAATGCATGGAATCTCATGTCAACTTACCAAGGAAGGATATGCTGTGTTAACTGACATGAGACTCCTGTCACAAAACATGGAATCTCATGTCAACTTACCAAGGGAGGGTAAGTCGTATTAACTGACATGAGATTCCTGTCACAATACATGGAATCTCATGTCTACTTACCAAGGGAGGGTTTGTTGTATTTATTGACATGAGATTCCTGTCACAATACATGGAATCTCATGTCAACTTACCAAGGGAGGGTATGCCCTATTAACTGACATGAGATTCCTGTAACAATACATGGAATCTCATGTCAACTTACCAAGGGAGGGTAAGTTGTATTAACTGACATGGGGTTCCTGTAACAATACATGGAATCTCATGTCTACTTACTAAGGGAGGGTATGTTGTATTAACTGACATGAGATTCCTGTCACAATACATGGAATCTCATGTCAACTTACCAAGGGAGGGTAAGTCGTATTAACTGACATGAGATTCCTGTCACAATACATGGAATCTCATGTCAACTTACCAAGGGAGGGTATGCTGTATAAACTGACATGAGACTCCTGTCACAATACATGAAATCTCATGTCAACTTACCAAGGAAGGGTATGTTGTATTAACTGACATGAGATTCCTGTCACAATACATGGAATCTGATGTCAACTTACCAAGGGAGGGTAAGTTGTATTAACTGACATGAGACTCCTGTCACAATACATGGAATCTCATGTCAACTTACCAAGGGAGGGTATGCCCTATTAACTGACATGATATTTCTGTCACAATACATGGAATCTCATGTCAACCTACCAAGGGAGGTTATGTTGTATTAACTGACATGAGATTCCTGTCGCAATACACGGAATCTCATGTCAACTTACCAAGGGAGGTTTTGTTGTATTTATTGACATGAGACTCCTGTCACAATACAATCTCATGTCAACTTACCAAGGGAGGGTAAGTTGTATTAACTGACATGAGATTCCTGTCACAATACATGGAATCTCATGTCAACTTACCAAGGGAGGGTATGCTGTATAAACTGACATGAGATTCCTGACACAGTGTTTGGAATCTCATGTCAACTTACCAAGGGAGGGTATGTTGTATTAACTGACATGAGATTCCTGTGACAATGCATGGAATCTCATGTCAACTTACCAAGGAAGGATATGCTGTGTTAACTGACATGAGACTCCTGTCACAAAACATGGAGTCTCATGTCAACTTACCAAGGGAGGGTAAGTCGTATTAACTTACATGAGTTTCCTGTCACAATACATGGAATCTCATGTCTTTTTACCAAGGGAGGGTTTGTTGTATTTATTGACATGAGATTCCTGTCACAATACATGGAATCTCATGTCAACTTACCAAGGGAGGGTATGCCCTATTAACTGACATGAGATTCCTGTAACAATACATGGAATCTCATGTCAACTTACCAAGGGAGGGTAAGTTGTATTAACTGACATGGGATTCCTGTAACAATACATGGAATCTCATGTCTACTTACTAAGGGAGGGTATGTTGTATTAACTGACATGAGATTCCTGTCACAATACATGGAATCTCATGTCAACTTACCAAGGGAGGGTAAGTCGTATTAACTGACATGAGATTCCTGTCACAATACATGGAATCTCATGTCAACTTACCAAGGGAGGGTATGCTGTATAAACTGACATGAGACTCCTGTCACAATACATGAAATCTCATGTCAACTTACCAAGGAAGGGTATGTTGTATTAACTGACATGAGATTCCTGTCACAATACATGGAATCTCATGTCAACTTACCAAGGGAGGGTAAGTTGTATTAACTGACATGAGATTCCTGTCACAATACATGGAATCTCATGTCAACTTACCAAGGGAGGGTATGCTGTATAAACTGACATGAGATTCCCGACACAGTGTTTGGAATCTCATGTCAACTTACCAAGGGAGGGTAAGTTGTATTAACTGACATGAGATTCCTGTCACAATGCATGGAATATCATGTCAACTTACCAAGGGAGGATATGCTGTATTAACTGACATTAGATTCCTGTGACAATACATGGAATCTCATGTCAACTTACCAAGGAAGGATATGCTGTGTTAACTGACATGAGACTCCTGTCACAAAACATGGAATCTCATGTCAACTTACCAAGGGAGGGTAAGTCGTATCAACTGACATGAGATTCCTGTCACAATACATGGAATCTCATGTCAACTTACCAAGGGAGGGTTTGTTGTATTTATTGACATGAGATTCCTGTCACAATACATGGAATCTCATGTCAACTTACCAAGGGAGGGTATTCCCTATTAACTGACATGAGATTCCTGTAACAATACATGGAATCTCATGTCAACTTACCAAGGGAGGGTAAGTTGTATTAACTGACATGGGATTCCTGTAACAATACATGGAATCTCATGTCAACTTACCAAGGGAGGGTATGCTGTATAAACTGACATGAGATTCCTGACACAATACATGGAATCTCATGTCAACTTACCAAGGGAGGGTATGCTGTATAAACTGACATGAGACTCCTGTCACAATACATGGAATCTCATGTCTACTTACCAAAGGAGAGTATGTTGTATTAACTGACATGAGATTCCTGTCTCAATGCATGGAATCTCATGTCAACTTACCAAGGGAGGGTATGCTGTATAAACTGACATGAGATTCCTGACACAGTGTTTGGAATCTCATGTCAACTTACCAAGGGAGGGTATGTTGTATTAACTGACATGAGATTCCTGTCACAATACATGGAATCTCATGTCAACTTACCAAGGGAGGTTATCTTGTATTAACTGACATGAGATTCCTGTCACAATACATGGAATGTCATGTCAACTTACCAAGGGAGGTAATGTTGTATTAACTGACATGAGATTCCTGTCGCAATACATGCAATCTCATGTCAACTTACCAAGGGAGGTAATGTTGTATTAACTGACATGAGATTCCAGTCACAATACATGGAATCTCATGTCAACTTACCAAGGGAGGTTATCTTGTATTAACTGACATGAGATTCCTGTCACAATACATGGAATCTCATGTCAACTTACCAAGGGAGGTTATCTTGTATTAACTGACATGAGATTCCTGTCACAATACATGGAATCTCATGTCAACTTACCAAGGGAGGTTATCTTGTATTAACTGACATGAGATTCCTGTCACAATACATGGAATCTCATGTCAACTTACCAAGGGAGGTTATCTTGTATTAACTGACATGAGATTCCTGTCACAATACATGGAATCTCATGTCAACTTACCAAGGGAGGTTATGTTGTATTAACTGACATGAGATTCCTGTCACAATACATGGAATCTCATGTCAACTTACCAAGGGAGGTTATCTTGTATTAACTGACATGAGATTCCTGTCACAATACATGGAATCTCATGTCAACTTACCAAGGGAGGTTATCTTGTATTAACTGACATGAGATTCCTGTCACAATACATCTGGAGCATGCTGTCTCATATGATACAGGATTACTTGATATTTTTATGTGTTCTGCTGAAGATGTTCTCAAGAAAATATCAAAACCTGCTCTATCTTGAAATGATTTCTATATCTAACTACAGAACATGGAATAATTGATATTATTTTAATTCAAGCACTGCAATATCAGATTGTTTTTATTACACTGAAAGGTTTTCTTAACGTTATATTGGTATCTTCTGGTTCTATGCATATAAACACATCAATTCCAGCTGAAAACTTCATATAAAATCACTGAATATGATTTTTATATATCTCGATCATTACAGGTACATTTTTTAATTATAACCCATAAACTTGTAAATATTGTTACAGAAATTGTATTAAGTAAATACGTGTATATTATCTTAATGCATTTTGAAGGAGAATCTTTCCAATAGAATCTGTACAGAAGCATTAATGAATATTTTCCATCAGGTAAAGACCCATTGTACAAAAAAAAAATGTCCAGTATTCAGATTGTTTCAGTTACCTATACTAGGTTTCTAAATGTTTACAGTGTTGTATGCACTTGAGAGAACATTACATTGAATGTAATCAAATCAAACAGTCTTCACACGTCCATGAAAAAAGGGTTAAAAGGGAATTTCAATTTTCTATATTCAATTCGAATCCCTTCTTAAATTTTTAACATAAAATTGGTGAAAAGTCTATGTTTAACTACAATGTTGCAAAAGGATTTAATCATTCTTCATTAGTAATGCATGATTAACATCCATTGTGTACCATTGTTACCATCAAATATAGGAATATATATGTTTACAAGTACTTGCAAAATACATAATTTTTATCCATACAAAATATGAATAATTTTTAACATTATATTACAGTTAGCACTAGGAGGCAAAAATATCAGGTCCATATCCTCTTTCTGTGGAACTTTTTACAACATGTTGATATCTAACTATGTCTCTTTGTCACACTACTCTTCAACAGAAGATGATGTAGAACACTTTGAATGTCATTGCAGTTTTTGAAATATACAGTGAAGTGCATATAAACATTTTCTTCAAGCGTACATTCTTAGTAGCCCAATCATTTTTCAGAAAACTTGCTGAAGGTAAAAACAAATCAGCAATCACAGCCCTAAAATAGAAAAAGTAAAGTATTCATAAGCAGCATTAAGACCCTGAAACATTTTAATTTCATTGTACAAATGACTGATTAATGATGTATAACAAACTACATGAAGCAGAAACATACCCAAAAATTAATTTCACAAAGTTTGCAAACAAAACAGTCTTTGTCAACTGTGTCCTCTCCAACACAGTGGTTCTTCCTATGAAATGATCTTTTGCAAACTTGACATTTGATCTACAAAAAAATTATTCTGCATTAAAGTACTTCAAATTAGTAATTAATATTAATATAGGTGAACTTTGCATTTTCATTGAAATTGATATAAGCAAGCTTCAAAATTTGAAATGTCATATATGCGAAAAATATACCTCATTTTTTCCAAATACTGCAAGGCCACATCCTGGACAATGTTCTGTCAGGTATACTACAATAAAAAACACACACTATTTTTTAGGACACCTGAGTCACCCATGTGACCTATTGCTATCCATTTTTGTCTGATGTTATGGGGCCTGATCTTGGGTATTAAACCAATGAACTATGTGCATAGTTATGGTGACCAAGGATGTCTCTTCCAAAATTGTGAATTTCATGATCCCTGGGTCTGGGGTTCTAATGTTAGGACGTGGCTCTAATGATTGTATAGTGAAAATGCATGATATATATTAAGATATTTTTCATTTTACTCCTTGAAACATGACTTAAGTTTTTTTTTTTTTTTTTTTGGGAAGTTGCAACATGATACTCAGGTGACCTATAAGGTCCATGGGCCTCTTGTTCTTATCTGCAATTAACATAAATTTCAAAGAAGAAAATATGCAAAGGGGTTTATATTTACTTTCAAACATCATCAAATCTGTGTCAATTTTCCGTCTCATAGCTGTAAGGTCTGCTCTTGTGTGGTTTGTAGTTGGTTGCCCACTGAGATATTGTTCTGCAAACTGGATGTAAATATACTGGCATTTAAAAATCAGTACATAGGAATATTTTTGGATAATAAATACCAAAATTCATTTTAACATTAAAAATTTTTACCAGTAAACAATGTACTCCACAGTTGTAACCATCTGTCTGTCTTGAGTGCATTTTAGTTTCTACCTGCCACTGCATCTGACTGACCTCATTGAAAGCAATCATCCTTTGATTCACATAGGAACTTTAAAAAACAGGAAAATTAAAAAATAACATTGATATTAAAGAATGCCAAATATATTGTGCAATACTTTTTTACTAACATTGTTTGTTATTAAAAAAAATTTGCATGGTGTTTGTTAATTATGTTAGTCCAAATGAAACAAATACGTACTTTGTTGCCCACCCCCCTCCCATCCAAACGGAAAGTGCTTGGGTATGAGTTAAAAATCCTCAATCCTCAAAAACAGATGTTTAACCAATAATTTGTTTTACAAAATTGTTAAATCATTGATGATCTAGTTCATTAATCTAATTATTTTATAAAATATGATTATACCACCAATTTCTTTTCACAGTAAGAATCTGTGATCTTTTTTCCATCAATGGATTGTAGAAATAGACAATTCCATTCTGTGGCTCCACAATCTTAAAAAAATACATTATGCCTTTATAAATTACTAAGGATGTCAATGAATAATCAACTATTTGACTATCCGTCTAATGGACCCACAATCAAATAATGAAACAACATTCAAATATTAAATAAATGCAAGAAAAGGAGGTGAAAATAAAATTCTCATCTCAAAATTGAAAAGCATCCTTCCTTAAACAATATAGTGTATTTTCTCATATGAATAAGAGCTAAAACACAGTCACAATAATTAAATAATTTTCCACAATATACATATGTAAAGTACAGTAATTACATATTACAGTGATAATTGTTTCTCAATCACTGACTGTTTGCTATTGTAGTGAATTATGCAACACTAACCTGAACTTTGAAAATTATCTAATTAACTTGTACCAATTAGATTTATATCCTCTAGGAATTTTACATGCTACGAACACACAATATTTGCATAGCCATGAAGTTTTAAAACTTCGATAATTATTAATACAATAATCTTAAGCTTACTTAAAAGACATTTTGATAGCTGGGACAATCATTAATATTATTGAACAAGCAGTATTTTTAACAGTATGACTGGAGCTGTGGATAGTGTGTGTTTACAATTTACGTTTTCCAGTTTATTTTAATTAATAAGCTTTTAAAAACACTGTGCTATAAAAATTCTCCAAAAAGTTGACTATTCTTCAAATACTGCAAAGGAATGTTCGACTTAGGAAATTGAATATATTGACATCCCTATAAATTACACATATAAATAAATACAAACCATGCTTTTTAAGTACAACATATGTAAAAAAAAAAATCATTATTTATTTACCATGCAAGTTAATAAGAAACTTACAATTAAAGTCCAGTGCCCGTGCTTCACAACTGCACCAATTACTGTGGAACACTCAAACAGTTTCAGCTGCCAAGATAAAAACAAGATGTGTTTTTAAAACACTGATGCCCCCTTTGGCAACATAGCAAAGATTAAACTTTTCTTATATGCAAATTTAATTCATTAGTACCAAAAGTAGGGTATTCTCAATGGAAAAATATTGTGAAATTTGAAAGTAAGCTAATGTTAAAGTTTTTTAATAAGTACAAAAATCTTTAAGGTCATTGTAATAAGTATCAAATGAAAGGTCTTGCCACATAAAATACTTATTTAAAGCATGAAAGCCCTAGCCCTAACTGTTCAGAAGTTATGGTCAACGTTCAATTTCAAGTAGGTCAAACTCCAAGGTCAAGGTCAAAGGGTCAAAGTTATTGTTATCAAATGAAAGGTCTTGTTATAAGGATGAAATATATAAAGTATGAAAGCACTAGCCCTAACTCTTTAAAAGTTATGGTCAAGCTTGCTTTTTTAAAGTAGGTCAATATCAAAGGTCAAGGTCAAAGGGTCAAAGTTATTGGTATCCAATGAAGGGTCTTCTCACAAGGATTACATATATGCAGTATGAAAGCCCCATACTTTACCGTGCAAAAGTTATGGCCAAGGTTAAAGTTTTTTCACAAGTATGGAAATCAAAAAGGTCAAAGTCAAAGGGTCAAGGTTGTTGGCATCCAGTGAAAGGTCTTTCAACAAATATCACATATGTGAAGTATAAATGTCCTGGTGTCTACTGTTTAAAAGAAATGGCCAAAGTAAAATTTTCATGTAAAAGTGGATCAAACTCCAAGGTCAATGTCAAAAGGTCAAATTTGGTGGTACTCAAAGAAAGGTCTTTTCACAAGGGATACACATATGAAATAAGAAAGTCATAGCTCCACTAAATCAAAAGTTATGGGCAAGGTTAAAGTTTCGGCGGACAAACAGACAAACAGCTAGACAGACAGAGAGACAGACAGACGGACACAACAAAAACTATATACCCCCGAAACTTCATTTACGGGGGATAAAAATCTTGTAAAATGTTCCATATAATGCAGCATTGAATATGTATTAAGATGTTTTTCATTTTACTCCTTGAAACATGGCTTCAAGTTGTTACTATCAAGATTTTTGACAAAGTTTGTATATCATCTGTTCTTAAGATGTTAAAACAGACAGCAATGCATAACTCAACTAAATTACAGTTAAATTAGATACAAATACTACACAGATTTTCAGTTTTCATATTAAATTTTTCTAAAGAGATATACATGTACCTTCTTTTTGCATCCTTTAAAGGTAAAAGAGCCATCCACAATTGCTGTCATGGTCTGGGATGCATACATTGTAATTTTTTTCCCCTTTTCTATTTCAGCCTGAACAAGGAAGGCTAAATAAGCATCTACTACCTATTGTAAATTAATAATTAGTGTCAATTACTTCATGTCCATAATACAAATTACTGTAAAGATTGTACTATGGCTTCATGTAGACCACCATTCTAATAATTCTTAAGGGAAATTGAGAACTCTTTTTTTCCAGTATATGTGCTGATTAAAATTCATAAGATTAAAATTAAAATATATCACATGTTACGCTTTATTTCGTGGATATAGTTCATGTACATCGTTTTCATATATTACGCTTAAGAGCAGTTATGACGTCACAATAGTTTTTGCATTAGCATGATGAAGTAAAATATAGCAGAGTCCCATACAAAAACAGTATAATTAAAACATCAGCTGTGAAGCATAAAACATGAAATAAAAAGAATCTCCCATGGTTACTTGATATTAATATGCGCCATCATAAGGGTATATGAGTGGATATATGAGTAAGCGCTAGCACAATCGTAAATAACACAAAAAATACTTTACTTTTCTGTGTAGGATAATTAAATTACTATAATTCCCACTATTGTTGATGTCCCTGGCATACTATACTAACTAAACAGGGATTCCTTATATTTCCATTCCATTGCGAAATCAAATTGTAGATTTAGACTTAAAAAATGTAGAGACAGATTTAAATTACATGAGGACTTCCATTCCAATTTTAATAGTCCTTGCCCACTGATGTCAGACACAAAGGAAGCCGCACAAGATTTACATGCATATTTGGCCTCCTTAGCGTCAAGCACAGAGACAGATGCGCATGAGATTTGCATGCGTATTGGGTCTTCTTAGCTACTGACCTATCGACCTGCCTAATTTACATTCTGGTAGAATTATCAAGAAATCAACTCTACTAACTTTCAAAGGGTTATCACAGAGAAAAAAAAATTAGAAATGGAAATATTTACATGTTAACCCATTTTAATACAATTTGACCTTACCTGATCAGTTAGCCAGTTGTTGCCAGAAAGGGACTTAAAATCATCGTCTGTAACATTATAGCTAGAGACTCGAGCTATTATGTAATGAGAAATTTCTGTCATGTTCCAGAGTTTCTCAACTGTTGTAAGAGCTGTTGATAACAATTAAACATATTACATGATAAACTTCTGGAGTTTTTCATTGAAGAAAACTTTTATTTAAAGAAAACTTACTTTAACATAACAGAAAATTCAACATTATGTTTTGGATGCAAAATGAAAAAAAATTAGCATTTCTAATGAATAAAAAATTCATACAGTATTTTTTTGGAAATAAAGTATCTAATAACAGCATAAATGTACCATTAATTAAAAATAGACAAAAAGTTGCATATTTCCTTAGAGGCATCTCCCTTCATACTAAAAATAATATATTTCTCTTAAAAATTATATAATATTTGAATTTTAAACTGGAAACAGGAGGTAGCAATAAGATAATAAAATAATAATATAGATTTACTACCTTGTTGTCTGTCAAGCACAGTCAAGGGCTGAGTATGGTCACTATTGCCTTCCTTAAAATGAACCTTCTTGAGGACATTCTGATTGACATTTTTCTTTTTCTTCAGAATGCTTTTGATTTTAGATCCTTAAAAAAGACCCAAGAGGCCTTACTGATAAAGGTATGAATAACTGATCAACAAACCATATATGTCTAGTACTCAGTTACAAATCATTTGAAGCAAATCTATTTACTTAAAAAAGGTATAATTAAAAGAAATTTCACTATATTATCATGAAATGCCCAGCTATACCCAAACTTTAGAATCCCTGACCCCGCTACAATAAATTTCAAAATATTGGCAGAGTGCTGTTTTTTTTATTACACACATACAAAGAGTTTAACTGCTATTTTTGCTGTAATTGATAGTCAGAAATAGTTGTTTTTAAAAATTGCATATTTTTTTATGGTTTTAGTCCAACCCCTCATGCCCTAAGGCTAGGGAGGTCATGAAATTCATAAACTTTGTTTTCCTTCTTCTGTAGGTGTCATATGCCAGAATTGGAAGAAATTGATTGGTTTTGCAGTTCCAGAGAAATCAATAAATAATTGTAATAAAGTATGCAACTGATATTTAGTTAAAATGTACTTACTGTCAGTTTCCACCGCAGCTGATTCACTAAATTCTGGGTGCTTTTTTGGATGCTTGTTCTCATTGAATAGGCCTCTTTTTGTCGGTGGGGGTTTACTTAAACCTAAAATTTTTCACTCAAAAATTAGTTGTCAAATATGGTATATATAATTCCTGTTGCAAACACCTAGCTTTGCTTAATTCAAACTGCATTATGCCTAGAAATTTGACAAACATCAGAGGTTAATTCTACCTTTTATATTCTTTCTCTTGCATGCCAATCCTATAAAAAGTTGAACATATTAATAAAGAAAGATAAATCCTGCTTAAACATCAATATCTAAGAAATTCCAAATGCATTTATATGCATCTTTAATTATACAGAAAATAAAAAGATTAGTCTGTAAACTGCAAACTCTACGATCTACATTGTAACATATATTAATGAAGGGAAGGAAAGCGGTTTTCATACGTTTTGCAGCACTAATTAAACCCTCCATAGCATTTTGTTCATCTTCTGCTTCCTTTTCAAAATTTCTCTTTAAATGCAATTTCTTTTGGTTCACTGACAAAGACATAAAAGTTCAATGACTTTAATTTAATATTCATCATGTAACATATCATGACATAAATGAAAATGAAGAAATCAAATTTAATCTAAATTATGTTGAGCAAAGAAATTTTGATATCAAAATACATGTACTAAACAAAATTTATTCGTAATTATCCTAAATGAACTTTATATAAAAAGGTGATAATTGATACATTTTTAATCATGTGAAATCATGCCAAAAAATCAGGAAACAAAAGCTGATTTTTTTATTTCTCCAGCAAAACTGAACAAAAAATAAATCTTGATAATAGTTTTTTCTTGATTTGAAATAATTTCTCTGGATGTGTGTAACCTACCTAGCTCACTAAGCAGCATATTTGATAACCTAAATTTCTGAGTGTCTGGCATTTCAGGTGGAGAAAGACTTGAGAGTCTTTGCAACAACTCAAACTGCTCCTCCTCAGAATTACTGTACTCGTCTAATACAGCTGCTCCTTTTCGGGCAATCAGATCAATCTTTATATGGGAATTTCGTTTTGCATCCTTTAGAAAATTCCTCCACTCACAATCTGACATCCCTTCCTTCAATTCTACAATAAAAAAGATGTGTGCAATGGAAGTGGGTTAAATAGGATATTCCTTATAGAAATTTAGATATTTTGTCAATATTTTTATAGTCAAATTATGCTAGTATGCTATAAAATTAAACTATTCAAGATTACAATATTTCAACAAGAGGACAATTGGCCACATCACTCACCTGAGTAACTTTGGCCCTGCTGTTCTCCACCTGATTTTCCCCTTTATAATACCTATTGTGGCCCCCTGTTCTACCCCCCTCCCCCAGGGGATTATGATTTATTTAATTAATTTAAAATGTACACTATGCCGGGATGTTTAAACATAACTTTAATAAATTTAACATGCATTTGAATATATTCAAACATACCTTTAGCTTTTTGAAGTATTACTGGTACATTATTCATACACTTTTCTGAAATTTTGAATATAAAGTAAAATAGAATGTAGAGAAATTCAAAGTCTGCTATTGCATGTTCTTTTTACATAATTTTATATATTAAAAGTATAATTCATCAGCATAAATAATCATTGTATTATTTGTTAAAAGCAACATGTCATCTTTCAGGCTTTCATAATAAATTGCAAGAGATATAAAAGAACATACAATGTAAAATATGAAGAAGATAGAAGATATATTCCAAAGTTATCATGTTTTTCTTTCAGCGAATACAATTTTTATTAAGAATTTCTAAGTCGAATAAGTATTTATTTATTGTTTATATTTTCAAGATGGATGTGAGTAATGTAAAGACTGAGTTAACCTGTAAAAGATGAAGATATAGTAAGAGATATGCATATAGTTTACATCACACCAGGTTATATGAGTGAACAATGTGAAACATGAAGTGTCAGAAGGAGCAGTTTAATGACAATGTACGTAAGCTGACATTTCTATTGAAAGCACTCGTGAATCCACCACAACAATTACTCTGGATACTAGCTTTAAATTTGATTAAACTATAATTACCTGTTACCATTTTTTACATTACCTGTCCTGTATTACTGCAGAATGAATATTTCATTAAAAGATGAACAACACAACATTTCAAAAAATATTTTTCATATAGATAGTTTTGAAATTAATGTAAAATATCCTGTACATATCTTCTTTAAATTGAAATTTCAAGACTATATTTAATGGAATTGGAAATGAATACCTTCACTAAGACTATGATGATCTTCTTTTTCAATGACTCCATACACGTTTGGATCTGAAAAGTAATAAAGAAAAGTAACCAATCAGCAAAGTCTTGCAGATGGACTGCAATCTTATGATGCAGAAAAAGGGTTAAGCATTAGACTTTACACAATATCAGGGACAGAGGAATCAGGGACCTTTTGACCCATCAGAATTGTAATCAGGTACCATGGAGGAATAAGCATCCCCTGTTGACTTTCATACCACCAGGAGCTACTTGTCATGATTGGGTAAACAAAATTAACCATAGTCAATTCAGGGTGAAAATAATGGCCTAACAATTTGTATGAAAAACAATCAGCATTTCACTTAATGATAGATAGTATTGGCTCAGCATGTCATTAATCTTGACCATAGAATTTGCACATTAATGACTTTAAAACATGACTGTTGACATAATTTAACAACTTATTTGTCACGTAGCTTGTCCATTACTATGAAATAACATTTATAAGCATAAGGTTAGTTAAATGCACAATGTCTCAAACAGAGATAAAACTTTCATACACATTTCATTTTTTTATATACCTTTCACTTTTAAAAATGGCTTCCTTATTTTTTTTTTCTTTTGTTTCCTCTTCTGTGGTAACTGTCGGTGGGTTTTCATTTGAACGGTTGATCCTCTGTGTAAGGGTAATTTGTCATTGACATCAACTGACCCCTGCAAACATTCAATGCATTTTAGTACCATGGTGTTCACCTCTGATAAATCGTTTTCACTGCTGCTGAGAAATGTAAGGTCGTCCAGAACTTTAATGTTGTTTCTAAGTTCTGATCTTGATTTGATAATTTGTTTCTGCTGGTTGTTTTCAGACAGTTCCGACAATTCTTCTTTTGTTGGCACTTCTAAGACAAAGTCTGCAGGCAGCTGAATCTCTGATTTGTTTTCAATTTGTTCCATAGCCTTGTCAGAGAGAACAGTGCTATCAAGATTTAAATATGGGCTTTGTCGATATAATGGTGACAGACTTTCCCAGGTGTGATGAGTGAAACGGATAACAGCAAATATATGTTTACAAGGCAAAAATGATGTTATAAAGTCTTGACATGAACACTTGGTTGCAGTTTCATCAGTACCAAGGTGGACATTGTAGTGTTCAGTATCTCTTGACTGGCTCTTTACTTTGTACATGTTTTGGCCTATGTTTTCTAGGTCACCTGAACAATACTCTCCGGCTGATGCGTATCGTACCAAGCAGTGTTTCACAACACTGCGTGGTTTATTTTGTAAGAAAGCAGGGATGCAATCATTGTACTTTTTGTATTGACTGGTGTACTGATAATTTAGATGGAGATACGTTCTTATCAGATCTGGAATGAAGTCCTTCACTATAATCTCAATTAAGGAGGTAAGAGTTCCAGTTGAGGTTAGTTTTGCGTAGAAGTTCTTTAAAGAGTTGTTTAGTGCCTCAACACCATTGTTCGTCGTCACACAAATATGAAAACCCTCACTCCAAAAAGCCCTGCACCATCTCTGCCAAAATTGAAAAAAAAAGTGAATATTCTGGCATTCCAAAGATACCCATAAGGTGGAACAATAACACAAGAAAGAGCAATGGTAAATAAATTCCTTTACAGCCGCAAATTCTTTAAAGGGTGTAATAATACAGGGATTTTCCACTGCCCTGTGTAGGGCCGAATATGGGCCGGGCCCATTCCCAATTGCAAAATCACTCCAATTTTCCGAAAAATGAACAGCCTGTGTTTAATTCTTGAAAAATTCATGTGAAACAAACATGGTCAGGTTTGAACTCTTAATGAAATGAACATAATTTTTGGAGACTTGGCTAAAACTTTAAAATACTGTAGATCACTAAATTTTCGCGCCACCTTATTTTCGTGAGATAGTCATTGACTCTTGATTAGCGAGACAAAATTTTCACGAATTGTGGTTATTGCTCAATATAATCTTAAGGAATACTACTATACGCGTGAATTAAATTTTGGGGAGTAAACTGTCTCACGTTATTATGCGAAAATAAAGTGCTCGCGAATAAAAAGTGATTTACAGTAATACATCTGTTTTCTGAAGTATAGTTCTTAAAATATTAAGTAAAAGTCATTTTTAACTATCATAAGTGTTTATCTATTGAAATACATCTTGCTATAAAATTTCCCAAAAAGTTGTAAAATGTTGTAATATTCCCAATTGGAAGGGCCTGGGCCCCATTCCCAAAATGGGTTGGAAAATCCCTGTAATGGAGTATTGGTACAATTGACATGATTATGTGCAATGTCAAAACTTTATCAAATGTTCATTTATGTAATACTCAAGAAACACTTTCAAATAAACAAACCTAAGAAAAATAAATGTTTGAAATACCTCTGGGATGTTTAACCATCTTGTTTCCAGGTACGTCTTAACCTTCTCATTTTCAGTAAAAACTGAGAGGTTAATAAGACTATCCCTAGCTTTCTGGAACAGAGGTACTGATGGAGCTCTGGCCATATCTCGCAACGCATCTAACAGTGTATCTTTATCAGATTCACTAAGATTGTTCTCTCCTGAAATAATAATTTAAATTGTTTTCATTTTTTCAGCCTTGTCATCATTCAAATTCATTGTGTTTAATGAAAGTAATAAGTAAGCTGTTGGAAGTATATTTTATAGACAAGTATCATAGAGTATTACTCTGTTTACACCATCGGATCCATGCCTGCTCCACATGAAAGGTGCAGAGGTATTTAGATGCGTTTGGGAATAGCTCATGTATGGCTTGATATTCCTGGTGAGAATAATCCATCATGAAAAATCTTGGTTCCCAGAACTTGTTCCAAGATTTGATTACTTGAAGAGCTTCCAAGATATTTTCTGTTCTTTCTGTCTCTACTATGAATTCTGCTACAGGTACATAGGAGACATTGGTGCGCACAACAAGAAGGAATAAAGGCAGAGCATATTTTGTAGTTTTATACGTTGCATCTATCAAAACCAATTCACCATACTTCTTCAAAAGTTCTTGCTGATGCTTACTTTGATGAACGAATAAAAATGTATTTTTCTCAGTGCCTGAAACTTCCTCATCTTCAAGGTCATCATCCTCTTCATCATCTGAGGCAAAGATTTTCTCTGTTTTCTTGATACTTGATGCACTCACTTGGTCACGAGTACAGTGCCTATAAAAAAACATATCCTCTGGGTCTTCCTTTTGCCATTCCTCAATTTTCTTTTGAAGATTTTCTTGATCTAATCCAGAGTACTGACCTTTGACAAGCGCTGCATGGACACAATTCCTTATGTCCCTATTGGTTGGAAAGTAGCTTCTGTCATTTGTAGATGGTGACACACAATCTTCAGAATTCATCTCTTTTTCTACAAAACTTTTCAGCATCTTTCTTATGTATGCTACTGATGTTATTCCCATCTTCACATGCTCTCTGATTCTTTCTTTTAATTTGATATGCATACGGTTTGCAAACGCACTTTCAATACTAACTGTATGCTTTGTGTGAGATGCAGCCAGTGGTAATCTCAGGTGAATTTTATTGCTGAAAGGGGCATTCTTTTTTTGGATATCATTTTCGAGTCTGTCCATTTCACGCTCCTTGGCACCTCTTCCAGCTGATGTTGGCAGATTGTAATTATCATAACTGCAACAAAAAATAACAGTTCTGTTAAAATAGAATTTGGTAAATTAAATTAAAATACAACTTGGTAAGTTGACATGAGATTCCAAACACTGTGTCAGGAATCTCATGTCAGTTAATACAACTTATCCTCCCTTGGTAAGTTGACATGAGATTCCATGTATTATGATAGAAATCTCATGTCAGTTAATACAACTTATCCTCCCTTGGTAAGTTGACATGATATTCCATGCATTGTGACAGGAATCTCATGTCAGTTAATACAACTTACCCTCCCTTGGTAAGTTGACATGAGAATCCATACATTGAGACAGGAATTTCATGTCAGTGAATACAGCATACCCTCCCTGGGTTGATATGAGATTCCATGTATTGTCACAGGAATCTCATGTCAGTTTATACAGCATACCCTCCCTTGGTAAGTTGACATGAGATTCCATGTATTATGACAGGAATCTCATGTCAGTTAATACAACATAACCTCCTTTGGTAAGTTGACATGAGATTCCATGTATTGTGACAGGAATCTCATGTCAGTTAATACAGCATATCCTCCCTTGGTAAGTTGACATGATATTCCATGTATTGTGACAGGAATCTCATGTCAGTTTATACAACTTACCCTCCCTTGGTAGGTTGACATGAGATTCCATGTATTGTGACAGGAATCTCATGTCAGTTAATACAACATACCCTCCCTTGGTAAGTTGACATGAGATTCCATGTATTATGATAGGAATCCCATGTCAGTTAATACAACTTACCCTCCCTTGGTAAGTTGACATGAGATTCCATGTATTGTGTCAGGAATCTAATGTCAGTTAATACAGCATATCCTCCCTTGGTAGGTTGACATGAGATTCCATGCATTTTGACAGGAATCTCATGTCAGTTAATACAACTTACCCTCCCTTGGTAAGTTGACATGAGATTCCATGCATTATGACAGGAATCTCATGTCAGTTAATACAGCATATCCTCCCTTGGTAAGTTGACATGAGATTCCATGTATTGTGACAGGAATCTCATGTCAGTTAATACAACATACCCTCCCTTGGTAAGTTGACATGATTTTCCATGCATTATGACAGGAATCTCATGTCAGTTAATACAGCATATCCTCCCTTGGTAGGTTGACATGAGATTCCATGCATTGTGACAGGAATCTCATGTCAGTTAATACAGCATATCCTCCCTTGGTAAGTTGACATGAGATTCCATGTATTATGATAGAAATCTCATGTCAGTTAATACAACTTACCCTCCCTTGGTAAGTTGACATGAGATTCCATGCATTGTCACAGGAATCTCATGTCAGTTAATACAACTTACCCTCCCTTGGTAAGTTGACATGAGATTCCATGCATTGTGACAGGAATCTCATGTCAGTTAATACAACTTACCCTCCCTTGGTACGTAGACATGAGATTCCATGTATTGTGACAGGAGTCTCATGTCAGTTTATACAGCATACCCTCCCTTGGTAAGTTGACATGAGATTCCATGTATTGTGACAGGAATCTCATATCAGTTAATACAACTTACCTTCCCTTGGTAGGTTGACATGAGATTCCATGTTTTGTGTCAGGAATCTCATGTCAGTTAATACAACAAACCCTCCCTTGGTAAGTTGACATGAGATTCCATGTATTGTCACAGGAATCTAATGTCAGTTAATACAGCATATCCTCCCTTGGTAAGTTGACATGATATTCCATGCATTGTGACAGGAATCTCATGTCAGTTAATACAACTTACCCTCCCTTGGTAAGTTGACATGAGATTCCATGCATTATGACAGGAATCTTATGTCAGTTAATACAAGATAACCTCCCTTGGTAAGTTGACATGAGATTCCATATTTTGTGACAGGAATCTCATGTCAGTTAATACAACTTACCCTCCCTTGGTAAGTTGACATGAGATTCCATGTATTATGATAGGAATCTCATGTCAGCTAATACAACATACCCTCCCTTGGTAAGTTGACATGAGATTCCATGTATTGTCACAGGAATCTCATGTAAGTTAATACAACTTACCCTCCCTTGGTAAGTTGACATGAGATTCCAAACACTCTGTCAGGAATCTGGGGCCCGTTTTACAAAAATACCTACAACTTAAGACCAAGTATATTTATTCATAACTTTTTAATTAAAATTATATCGACAATTATTTTTAACATTTTAAAAAGAATGTGATAAGATATTTTTAAACAGACAATTTCAAAGAGAATTATTTATTTTCAAAATTTTACAATAATCTGAAGTTTTGGTCTTAGTTGTAAGTTCTTTTGTAAAACGGGCCCCTGATGTTAAGTTATACATCTGGCTCATCCTAGGTAAGTTTAAACAAGATTGCATACAATGTGTCAAGAATCTTTTGGGTCTGGTTTTGGCACGCAATATGCTACTCTTAAAGCAATATGAGCTGTATCTTTGAGAATTTTATTTTGCTGGTAAAATGTGCTATTAAGATTAATTTGTATGTAATTGAAACCCTTGTGATCAATAGGACCAAAATAAAGTTTTAAAATGATTCAGAAGAAATATTTCTGTATAACAGAATGTACAGTTTTATATAAGAAATCATACGGTAATTGTACAGGACGATAATAACTTAATTTTGCTTCAATTAAAGCTTAAATAAAAAATTCTCATCGCAAATATGAACAGCTGAAGTTGATAAATGATTTGTTTTTTTGTCATTAAATAAGTTAATTACAGATTTGCAGTAAAATTTTCCGATTTCAAACATGCAGCTCATCTTGCTTTGAATAATTGGATTTGATTTCTCTATGTATATTTGGGGTTGGTGAAATTTTACCTGGTTATGTATCTGATATGTAGCTTTGCATCACAGCCAACTTTTCTTGAGTTCTGTATTAAGAATCTTTTTTTCTTTTCATAGACGTGGTCTGAATTCTACAATAAATATATGAAAATATTTTATAAATTTAAGAATACCTTTGAAGATTTATCTATACTGAAAATTATTTACAATGTATTAATTAAACATCTAAAGAACACTTAGCAAATATGAGATATAACATTACCCACACCTTTTGTCTGAATGTTAACTTATCCTCATAATTGGCAAAAAAATTTTCAATGAAAGACTAGTAAACCCCTCACCCTCATTAATGAACCATAACCTCCACCTTCCACCCAAAGTAAGAAAATTTAACTCTTTTTACGGTAACTGGGGTGAATGGGCAGCCACATGCAATTTGTCATTTTTTCCTTTTAATTTCCCTTTTCAAAATAGGTCCATTGTGCCTAAGATTTATGTTTTCTACACCACAACTTAGATTTAAAATTCAAAATTAATACACATTTGGAATGCCATATAAGACAGCCAACTGCTGACTGCTTTCTGCCGACTGTCAGCTGCTTACTGCTAACTGCCAAACATATTTGAATAAATTTTATTTTTAAATTGATATTTATGTGAATTTGTTAAAAAAAATGCACTGACCCCCAAAACAGCAGTAACTGCTTAATATTCACCTGAGAATCTTCTGTGGGAAGAGCTGCATTTGCTTTTCTTCCTTTTCCAAATTGGCATGTGAGAACAACACTTCTGTCAACGGTAAATGGACAAATACTGTCTCCTGTGTTTACATCTTCATGCTGCCAGACTATTCTTCTTTTCTTCTTCTCCTTCTTCTTCTTATCATCTGACCTTTAAACAAGAACCATGCAAATATTCATTTCCATAGACAATATGAAGCTTTTAACATTTATCATGTTCATATAGGAAAAGTTATATTATTAAGAGTGTTAAAAAATTTACTTTAAATTGATTGATAAATTGAAATAAATTAGATCATAAAATAATTGTAAAATTCATTATCGAAAAATGCATTCCAACATTAAACCAAGTTTTACCAGGTAACAAAGGAACAAAGTGAAGACCGTTTGTGTGCCTCCAAAACTGTGTTTAAGTCCGCATCATTGTTGACCCATCCCAATATATGGAACTCGGTTACACAAGTAGTTTGAAAACATGGTGGAATCCAGTCATTATTTGAATCCATCTGAATGTCTGAATTGAAAATTTTAACATATACATTTCAATCACAACAGATCTATTTTTGCTTGGCGTATATTCTTTTTTATGCTAATTTATTTCTTTTAAAGATACATTTCTCATCTCACTTTCTGAAAAATATAACTGCTTGGTCTATTTTTTCTGAGCATTTGTATTGAATATTTAATATACAAAAAGAGTGCTAATATGGTTTAATTGGCAAGAAATGTATATGATATTTTATAAACTAGTAGGACCAAGCTTAAAAAAATCTTTGTTTGCAGTTGCCGACCTATAATTTTTAGTCTGGGTAGGTAGGTATAGGTAGGCAAATTTTTTTTTTGAAAGAAAAAATGTTTTCAGATCTTTGATAGATAACATAAAATAAAGTTTTTCATAGGCCTACTTTACATGAATAAGCTGCATACTTGGTATAAACTAATGATTGATGAAGACAAAAATTGAAAATGAAAGTTTTAATATCCTGAAAAATTGGAGATAAAAATAATAATACAAAATGGCTAAAAAAAAGTTTGGGTCGGGTACATTTTCAGTGGGTCGGTCGGCAACTGCAAACAAACAATATTTTATTTTAGGCCTAGTTTAAGGCATGAGATTTGCTTATAAATTATTCAGACACATATTCTTTAACTATTCAGGGATTGAATAATTCATTAAATTTCTGTTTAAAATAATAAATAATTTAAAATATTGAATTAAAAAATATTAATGATTTTGTAGTAAAATACAAAGATTGCATATAGATATTAATTTAATATGTTGCAATATAAATATATTTGTCTATTAGTTATTTAATTTGTCAGCAATCCTTTAAATTATTTTGTACTGCATTCTGATATCATGATGATTAAACTTGACGTACATATTATGGCAAAGGGGTTCCTGTACAAATAATAATATCACATGTAATGCCTAAGGGGGTTGAAAGGATTGATAACTTAATTAATTTATAATGTTAAAAATAAAACATGGAAACAGTGCATGCATATTATATATGCATGTATGGTGTGTTCCCTGAATGGCTACTCGAAAAAACAACAAGTAATTATCAAATTCAATTAAGGTTCGCTAGAAGGGGTTTTTGTTGTTGTTTTTTCCGAGTAGCCATGCAGGGAATAAACCGCATGTATATATTATAATAGTATAAAATATATAGTTTTCATTTGGTACAAAAAGTGTTTACTGAATTAACATGATTAATGTTATTCTTCTTTTTCTGTTTTAAAGTAAGTACAATAAAATCTTGTCTTAATGACAATAATAAAAATCAGATGGATTGTCCTAGAAAGAAAAATTCAAAAAAAAATAAGAAAAGGTCCAAATGATTGTCCTAGTATCAAAATGAATTGACATGTATTTGATTATACTGTAACCAAGTAAAAATAGCATCAGTCTTTGCAGCTCTCATGATTTACTTTTTGATTTGTATATATTTTCATCAACACATTCAAAATATAGGATATTTTATTTTACTTTGGAAGGCATTGGTTGAAGATTTACCTCTGGAAGGTATGTGGGTTTAAAGCTGGCAAAATCAGTGAGGAGCAACCAGTTCCAGCTGGTTATCATTACGTTTTCTGCCTTTATATCACAATGACATACCTGTAACCCCAGAAAGAAATTCCAAATTATCTGTACAGTCACTAAATTAAATCAATATCTGTAAAGAAATATACAGAAATTCTACTGAGAAACTGTCTGTCTGTTTGTGACTGTCTGTCTTTACTGTTTAATAATGACTCTCATATGGAAATGAAAAAGAAATGGGAATGGCTTACTTTGATTTTATGACACTGATTGAGATCACATAAAAGCTGAAAGGCCAGCCATTTCTTCTCTATTCTGTTCAGGAATGGGCGAGTGCTGATTCTGTCATAATTTTAATTGTAACATAAAATTTCACATTTAATATTTTTATTTTATTTGAAAATAAATATAAATAAATATATAAATTTTACTTTCCTGGACTTTTAAAAATTTTTAATTAGTATTCGCTGTTTCTTTTAAATTATTATTTTATTTTTTGAACTTTTGAACTATAATATGCTTATAGTAATTATAATTAAATTTATGGTTATAAGCAAAACTATATTACTCACATTTTTTTTTTCTTTTTTTTTTTAAGATATCGGGATCGGTGTTCAAAGGTTATAGAAACACGTGTATTGTATAACTGTCTAAATGAATAAATTAATATAAAGTTCCTGTTAGGAAAGTGATTTCGATATGTTGTAATATGTTTAACTCTTACTGTAACTCTTACTGTAGATGGATTAAAAGCTTTGAATAATATGATGGTGTTATACAGCATTCACATCTTCAAATGGTGATGGAAGTGTTGGCTGCCGGAAATATTTCGCGCGTTAACCATAGACTATCTTTTATTTACACAGAAACCGGTGACGTCAAACTATAAATACACGAAAATCCTTACATCTAGGCCACGCCGAGGCGCATTATATAATTGTAAACAAACAAGGTGAATGTTAAAGCCGTGCACTTAATGGCTGTGAATAGTATATGTGCTTTTTAGTTATGTTCTATTTTCTCACTATATTGTTTGCTTTTATGTGATAAGAAGAAAAGATTATATTTTCTTCCCTTTTCAGTAGACTTGGTTTATACGATTTTTAAAAAAATGAAATAAAAGGGAAAGTTGTCAGTGAATAAACATGATAATTTGTTAGAAAAAAGCACAAACACTTCGGGAACTTTATTCTGAAGAATATTAGCATCCAATTTAGCCATGTCTATTATTTATAGTAAGCTTGCTTTGCAGGTTACACGCGTGAGGAGCTCTCGTTTACGTGCTGAGTGAAAAGAATTACTTGTTCATATAATAGATCATGCACCAGCTTATTTAAAACAAGACTCGAACACAATAACTATTTCATGAGATCAGGAAGATGTTAAAGCACAACTTTACAATCGATAGTCATTTCGAAATATTTACCGTTTTTGAGTTATAAAGCAAAAACTTTCAAGGTCCCTTGATCCCTAATTATAGGGGCCAGCCCCTTTTGAATATTATTATATGAAAGCACTTTCAATTATGCACAACTTTTGTTCATTATGTCTTAACAAAATCTTTTTAGTTTTCAAGATAAAAAGGAAAATATGTGTAAATTTTCGCTCTTTTAGGCGTTCTGATTTTTGACCCGTATATAGCGCCATTGTGAATACAGAAATCGAAAAATAAAATCCGATGTGCACAACTTCAATCCTTCTGTTACCTAAAATCAGTAAAAATTCTGCTCCAGCTTTTGTGGTCTTTGAGCCTTTATCCGGAAACGAAAGCCTATAAATTTTATTTTAAAGGGAAATAACTCAAAAGCGGAAGTGAATTTTTGAAATGTTAGATACACTCTGATAGAGTTTATTAATGTCTATAATGTCTGAAAATTTGAGCGAAATCCGTTGATAAATGAGTGAGATATGAGGCCTCAAAGTTGGCGTCTAGGAAGTAGAAGAAAAAAAAAAGAATAATAATCTTTACCAACAGAATCAGTAGAAGGTCTTCCGTTGGAAACGGAAGACCTTAATAAGTCTTTATCTCATGTAGGAAACCTGATTTATATTCTAATATTTTCTAATTTTTTAAAATTATTATTCGTATTTCTCAATTTATCATGTTCGAATTACATGTATTTATTTTTTTAGGGAACATTAAACCTTATTCGTCAGCCAGTCTGTCCATCTGTCACGAGAACTTTAAACTTGATAATAACTATTGAATGAGTTGATATAAGACTTTGATATTTCACATGTGCATTATTTATGACATCTGATTTTCAAATATACTTTGATTTTTGACCCTGTGACCTTGATCTTGGAGCTTGTCCTACTTAAAAAAATAACATTACTTTAAATTGACCATAACTTTTGAAAGCTTCCATTTTATAAAAATGTATTAACTGTGACAATACCTTTCAAAACTCACAGATTTTTTACCCTTTGACCTTGAAGTTTGACTGCTTTTCAAAAACATTAACAATACTCATACCTTTTGAATGAGAAGAGACAGGGCTTTTATTTTATCCTTGTGTATTACCTAAGACAACTCTTTTCTAAATACACTGACTTTTGACAACTTGACCTTGAGGCTTGATCATAACTTTTTAATGAGAAGAGATAAGGCTTTCATATTACACAAATATCACATGTACGTAACCTGTGATGAAATCATTTCAAATCCTTGAAGTTTATCCGGCTTTTCCAAAATTCAAACATTGCTTAAAATTGACCATAACTTTTTACACATGTATATTAGCTGTGACAAGGCCTATCTAAACAAAAGGTATGGCTTAAATCATGCAGAGTGTGTTATGGCCTGGAATCAAGGTCATTTATGATAAGATATTTTGGCTGGATGCATTGTTTGAAAAAACATGTGTGAATTTGTCAATACGGTAGCACACAAATGGGATATGCTCATCACCAGCGTGTGTCATGGTGTGACCCAAGGTCATTCTGACAAGGTCAAGGTCGCAAACATTCCTTTACTATCCTTTTTTTAATTGTAAAACATAATAAGATGATATCTACCCTTAAAAGATTGCTTTAAAATTAGAACGTGGCATTTAATTTAATTCAATCAATATTTTATTATGTAAGTAAGATCACATAATTGGATTGGACATCAGGCATGGCCTATATAAGTCCTCTCCAAGGTCAAGATTACAAATGTTAAGAATTGACAATGATTTACAATGACGAAAAAATTTCCTTATAAGTTACATTAATTTATAGTAAAACATAATAAGATGATATCTACCCTTAAAAGATTGCTTTAAAATTAGAACGTGGCATGACCTTGACTCAAGGTCATTTCTCTCTGTCCGCAGCTCCGACGGAAGACCTACTCGTTGCTTTGCAACGAGCTCGGCTCTAGTTTGTAATTACATTTTTGATAATGTTGATGTGACAAACGGAGATTTTCTCATTTCTTTGGATGTAACTACGATTAGATCTCCGCACAGGTACTTTGAATAAGATAATGCATACGTACATTACCAAGAATAGGGCTACTATAACAAAAAAAAAATCCGACTAGAGTAGAAATTAAAGTACGTGACGAATTTTCAATCTTCAGCGGTCCAGTTTTCTTCAAACAAAAATCATTCGTTCCTTGCGAAATAACTATAAGAGCAACTTCAGAATATTTTTCTCTACTTTTGAAAATATTGTTTTCTTCCGATAGTATCAATAATTTGTTGTTTTATTTTTGTGATTATTATCATTTATGTGCGATATATGTATACATTTAATTTATTGCTCGAATTTATTTTACATTAAAAACAGTATTGTAAGATGTAAATGCTATTGAAATATACCTTCCTGGGTTGTTTCCAGACTTAACTCTGATACAGTCGACGTTTCTGCTTGTGCAATTGGAGCTGAAAATACTTCTGAGGATGTTAGAACCGTAGAGGGTAATTCTGTGGGATATTGTGTGGAATTTCCAGCTATTAATGAATAGAAGATAAGAAAATAATTTTTGACTTTATGAAAATGCGAGTACAAGTAGCGAAACGAATACATACTTTACCTTTAGTTAACTAAGTATAAATTATTCCTCAAAAATCAAAAGGCAAATCATGCTTTAATACATTTGAATAATATTGAAAAACATATGTACGTTACCTCTTTCAAGCTTAAGTTTGACTAAAAAAATTGCTTTTATTTCCTTACACTATTTCATATATCTAAAATTGAATAACCCAGCACGAAAGGGAAACAAATGTTAACAATATTGATTAGGCGATTCCATATTGTTTAAGTTTTTTTTCTTTTAGTTTTACCTATACATCCTTTAAATGGATCACATTGTTCTTTGGTACAGTTGCAATGTAACTGACATCCCTTACCATAGCCAGGGTATCTACAGGTGTTCTCACAATAATCACCAAACCTCCCAGGATCACAACCATCTATTTACATATACATAACATATTTGTCATTTTTAAATTATTGTATAGATTTTTTTTTCATTTAAATTAATAAAAAGGAATCACGACATTGAAATTGTTTTCTTAAGTACATGAGTGAATACCATTACAGCCGTAGACATGATGACATTTTTCAGAAGAACAATTATACACAGACCGGCACCTTTCACCGAATGTTGGCGGAGGACAAGCGAATCTGCAACCTTGGCCAGAATAACCCCTCGAACAAGCTGTCAACAAAAGCAAAATCATAGGATAAGCTAATTATCCAGAATCCGACAGTTTATTCATGAGATTGGAATATTGAATTATCAGAAAGATACAAACGTATGCATTCACATTTAATGCCTTGTCCCAAATATATCCACTGCAACATGTTATCCCATCGAGCCTGATAAACAGATTATTCACATGTAGTGGCATACAAATGTTATGTTTTACCATAATTAGGATGGTTGTTTTTACGATCTTATTTAAGGAAATATTTAATTGATTGAAAATATCTTCCTTAAACAAATTCACTTATTAAAACAAAAAATCTTACACTCAGTTATTTAAAACAATAATACAATGTGTTTTCCCACGCTGTATCATTATCTTTCATCCTAAAGATGAAATTATTTATAGATTTTAGAAATTCATATTCCCTCTTACCCTCCGCATTTCTGTGATGTAGAAAATAGAAAATAGTGCAATAAAAAAAGTAACCAACAAACATCAACGTGGAACACAAAGTCAGATCCATTTTAGTTCTTTTACATTTTTATTGTACTTCCGTGTTTGATTTTTCACTTCCAAAACGATCTGGAAATTGTTAAAGTTTGTACGTACATGTTTCAGTGACATCCAAATATTTAACCTCTATTAATAGATATTCAATAATTATTGTTGAATTCGTGTAATTAATATTATAGAAAGATTTTTTTAGCTCCTTTTAATAAACTGTTGTGTTGATTGGGGCGGTCGTACTTTCTTATTTATTCACATTTTTAAAGATCATTACATTAACTTTTATTCTGATAAACCTCGTCCTAACTGATTTTGTCCTGTATTTTTTTTTTTCAAAAAGGCGTGGATTTAAATTCAAATGATAAAAAATGCAACTGTTTCTTTATATTACTTTCTAGTTACCTTGATGTTTCATTTCTAAAGAAAACAAAGTTAAAAGATATATTTAAAAAAAAACCACGTATTTTTACTGTATAAGATAATTAACTAGTAAATGTATTTTTGTGAATTTATCACAAAATCATTTTGATATAAAACAGAACAATTCAATTCTTATTTTAAAAATGTAGATTTTCAGTAATACCGAATTGTAAAGTTTTGATCTATAGGGGTGCATGTACTTTGAAAATCTACCATATGAATCTTTCATTGGCCGTGTTTTCCTACCGCACCAGGCGGTCTATTCTTTATATTGTGGTTCAAACTTCAGAATAATATTTTAAAAATGAGAAAATGCAATCGGTTGTAAGCTACTAATATCTTTTTTTTTAGATTAAGAATATGATTTCTCACAACCTTGTAGGATTAAAGTAAGAGGCCCACGGGCCTTATAGGTCACCTGAGTATCACGAAACAACTTTCATACTTAATTAAATACCCAGGAGCAGAGAAGAAGATTTTCAAAGAAATAATGCTTTTTCACTATATAATCTATATATCCCTACCCTAGCACCTAAGAACCCTGGCCCCGGGGCCATGAATTTCACAAATCACAAATTTTGTAGAAGACACAATATTTATTACAATCATGCAAACAGTTTGACTGCTGGATGTTCAAGAGTAAAGTAGACGATTTTTAAAGATTGCATTTAATTTAGTGGTTTTGGCCCCACCCCTCAGGCCCAGGGGGCAGGGGCCATGAAATTCACAAATTTGGAAGAGGCAGCATTATTCAGAATAACTATGTATTTGTTTTGTTTTGTTTATTAAATACACAGAAGAAGATTTTCAAAGAAATAATGTATTTTCACTTTACCATCTATATTGCCCCACCTTAGCACCTAAGAACCCCTGACCCCAGGGCCATGAAATTCACAATTTTGGAAAGGGCTGTCAAATTCAACAAAACTATGTACTTGTTCTGTTTATTGTATGCCCAGGAGCAGAGAAGATTTTCAAAGAAATAATGCTGATTACAATCATGCAAACAGTTTGACTGGTTGATGTCCAGGAGAAAAGAAGAAGATTTTTAAAGATTGCATTAATTTTAGTGGTTTTTGTCCCACCCCTCAGACCCCGGAGGGCAGGGACCATGAAACTCACTTTTTTGTTCCCCTTAACCCATAGATGCTTTATGCCAAATTTGGTTGAAATAGGTCGAGCGGTTGCAGAGAAAAAGTTGAAAATGTTCAAATGTTAACACACGACGCACGTCGACGGAAACGGATAACAATAGGTTTACTAAAAAAATACAGTCAAACATCACCCTTCTGCCAAGTCTGCCTTTAGGTATCTTCCTCCATAATGGAACCTTTATTTAAATGAGACTTAAAAGCTAAATTAGTATTTTTCAACATAAGAAAACTCTAGAATTAAATAGTACAATTTATTTTTTTTTACATTCATATACGCATGTGTAGTACAAACTACAAATATAAGCACTGTCTTCTTAAATTTTTCAAAAATTTATATGACAAAGACATATTCATAAAAATAAAAAAAATTATCAAAGTGTCTGCTAAACCGAGTGGTTTTTTAAAAAAACTTCTTTGCGCAGATTTGTATCTTCTGGTATTTCAAGTACAGTAGCGTTGTTGGTAATCCACCAGGCACCAATTGGTAGTATTTTTAGATTCTTGCGTGTTCGGAAAGTGTAACAGTTGCAATGAACAGTCTAATTAAAAAAAACGCAAAGCTATTTCGATTTTTTTGTGATTCGGCTTTGTAATCTATATACTATTTTTATCCCTAGATTTGTTACGGATATTCTGAAACATAATAAAACTGTAATACTCCTGTTTATTAGATATGAATAAAAGAATAGAATAACGATGAGTGATCGATCCAAAATATATAAACAATACAACTTTGTGAAGAGAGCATAAATCGAGGACAAAAAATCTATTTTAAAAATTGACTAAGCAAATGCATCATAAGTACTAAGGATTTAGTGCCTTGCCCTTTGCATTGAAAATGCTGTATTGAAAATTGATAATTACAATGTAATTTAAATAAACAGTAAGTTTTCTATATAAATTTTTAGATTGTAATTCTTATGTCATTTAGCCTATTTTTAAACAAAGGTCTATTTATTTTCATGTTTTTCCAAATACAAGGAGAACATATATACTGTATCCATGACAATGGATTGTTAAATGCTGTTGTTCATCTTAAATTTGGTATGTGAAAAAAAGCCTATTAAGAAAGTTATTCTTTACATCTAATTCTTATTTGAGACACATGCAAAATCAAAGACATAAAAATATATTCCCATAGAAAAATGTTGATTTAAGGTACACCGTATTAAATGTAGAATATAAAGTCTACAAGACCTGCTTTCATAAGGCTTACTTAATTATCCCATGTGAATCATCCCTTCAGCTTACTACACAACATATTCGAAGCGGCATTATACAGTTTAACGAAGCGATCATAGAAATCAACATTTATTTTAATGCCATGGCAGCATTTTTAACAATTATTTTGATATATTTTTGAAACTAAAGCAAAGTTCAGTGTATAGAAGAAATAAATTAAAGTCATAAAACTAATCCTAAAACATATTTCATATGTAAAACCTTTATAAAAAAGTTTAGACACTACTGAATCTCTGAGCAGAAGCGTTGTACAGGATAATGCATATATAAATGATAAGAAAAAAGCCTGCAACAATCAAAAGCCCCACGATACTAAAAATTATGGATGATGACGCGTTTCTTTACGTGATCCGTTTCCTTTAAGCAATACTTACCGTTGTTTGTTCCCTGTGAGGCCTCTGTAAGTGTAAAATTAGCAATACATTCTCTAAAAAATCAATCTGGGGACATATTTTTTTCTTGATAATGTTTTAAATAATAATTTGTTTAGTATACATGAACATAGGTTTTATCAAATATCGATTGCTTTAATAAAATCCAATGTTCACAAGAGCAATTACGGAAAATTTTGAAGGAAAAGTGCAATCATGGCTAGAAAAATACCGTCAATGGTTGTCTTCAAACTAGAATCTGTAGGAACACTTTCAAATAAGTGTGAGGTTTCCGTTGGAACCAAAGAACTTGAATATGCTTCAGAGGAGGTACTGTGAGTAGAAGTAAAATCTAAATGAAAATACAGAACATATGATGTAATTTTTTGCTTAAAGTAAAACAATTTTTTTACATCGTCAGGAAATTAAATATTATGAACATTACAATAAACTCATGTATTATGCATATTAAAGAATAATAAGAGGATCCATGTTATTATATCTTTCAACCTTTAAGACATTGAAAGATTTAGATTTGTTTTCGAGTTTTTGCAGTCAAGTTGTCCATTCTTTTGCTTCCTTGAGCCTCTTTTGGTATGAAAACTGAATAATACGATGAAAGAAGGGGAAAAGAACGCAGTTTTCTTTTAAAAAAACAAAACAAAACAAAATAAAACAAAAACACGCTGCCTTGCGTGAATAACAAAATTAGGAATTTTAAAGTACAATAAAACATTAACATTTTGTAGAGGAATATCTTTCTCTTGAATAAATCTGTTGTGACTAACAAGAATGAGGGATTTACATGTACTGCTGCAGTAAATAGGGGTAAATTTCATAAACGAAGGTTACCTTTACATCCTGTAGACGGATTACAATGATCTTCATCACAGTTGCATTGAAGTTGGCATTCTTTTCCATAGTTAGGGTATCGGCAAATAAACTCGCAGTAATCACCAAACGTTCCCTCTTCACATTCAGCTATGAACAGAAGTAGCTTTATTTCCCCTGTTTGCGATGCAACATGCATTGCAAAATTGTAGAAGCCCTTTAACAAAAGGTACCTGATGCTTTTTTGCAGCCAAAAACATAATGACAACTTTCATTAGAACAATGACACGCCGACTGACATCTCAGGCCGAAAGATGGAGGAGGGCATTTAAACCTACAGTTGTAGCCATAAAATCCATTCTTGCAAGCTTAAAAGAAATTAAGAAGTTTTCAAGTTTACTACATTATGACTATAAATTTTAAGAAAAGTAATGGTTTTTGTTGATAAGTACTTTTTTTTACATTTAAAAGTGAAAAAAGTTCATTGCTATATTCCACATATTAAGACCTAATGCTCTTTCTGTACAAAATATCATTTGATAGCATATTTGTACAAAAAATGTACATGTATTGAATAATTCAAGTATTGTGTCACCATCCATTCACACAGGGATCAAAGAAGAGAATTAAAGATTTATATAATATTTAACTATTTGACATTTGCATATCTTCTTTTAATAATATGTATGAAGTGTATAGAAAGTAAGTAATAATACTCTGATTTGTTGGTTTCATTTTGCAATCGGTATCGGTTTACTTAGGAAGCGTTTCCATTTTTTTCTTACTCTCACCATAAGTATAATGTAGAAATCATAGAATTAAAAAAAATGAAATTTTTGTTTGGAACGGAATAGATTAATTTCATTACTATAGACAGCATATGTAAAAATGTACCATAGCATTTTACATGTGTGCCTTTATCACAAAGGAGACGGCCTCCTATACACTACATACTGTATAATGCATCCTATTAAAAAGCATGTGTTCACATCACTTCCAACAATACTTATATATTTTTAAGGTATGTCAATCGTGTCGTGAATTTACAAAATTTAGTCATATCGAGGATTTCTTGAGAATATAATTTAAATAAGTACACGCATTGAATGAATTCTTGCAGTTTTTGGTTAATCATGCCAATAATTAAGATATTACTTTACGTAAAATAGTTTGAATAATGCTTAATATCATTGTAAAAATCATGCATATGAATGCGTATAAATTATAGTGCTACCTTTCTACAATAAAAAAACAGCATATTTGGGGCTATTTAAAATAAAACTAGGCCAAAAAAATGTCTTGTATCAAACTTCTTAAGACTTTAGTGCTGATTTGTCGAAATGTTTCGAATAGTTTAAAATAATGAAAGAAAATTTGCGACCGTTCAATAGTTAAGTCCAACATTGTTTTTCTTAAACAGTAGGTCAAACCTGAAGTTCAAAGCCATGACGTCTTATTCAAGGAGGAAAAACATGATCATGCCTTAAAACAATAATTATATTTTAAGAACTAGGCCTTGTTGAATTTTTGCTAAAAAGGTCAACTGTATATGTCAAATTTATCAGATCACAAATGTCACAACTTAAAGAAAAGTCTTGTCACAAGAAATACCCTATTGTTTGTGGAAATATGATAGCTCAAAGTCAAACCATCAATGATATAGTTTAATTTTTTTCCAATTATATATATTATAGGGAAAACGGATTAACAGACAGACGGAGAGCTGGACAAAAGATAGACCAACACCTTTATGCATCCGGATATTTAATGACAAGGAAAATAAAACACAGCCCTGTAAATATAATTTTCTTGTTGCAATCTTTGTCTCATTCAAATATAGAGGGTTCTTTTAATTAATTTAAAAGGGAATTCAGTTTTAAAATTGTATGATAATTTTTCCTATTTATAAGAATGAAGAAAGATTATTTTTTCAAAGATTCGCCTTATTTTAAGCTATAAGTATTAATTTCGGCCATACATTAAGGTCATTAAAGTACAAAATAATATATATATGCCATTCCCATTGAATTGCCTTTGTCTTAAAAAACAACAAACACATAAAAACAAAACAACTAACGCGTGCAGTTATGGACTGTCTCATTCAGAACGATTCCAACAAATCCGCTACAGCATTCCAAACCACTGCGCCTATTTAAGTAGAGTATTAATCTATTTTTAGCAAATGAAGGAAAATTTGAACAAGTTATTGAATACGCAACACTAAAAAGTTGAAAGATCGAAAAAAAAATACCCATGACAAATCAGTGCTGTAGACTTCTCCAACTTATAACTCATTATCAATGTACAAAATAAAATCCAAATACACATAGTGTTTACCATGTAGAAACACTGTTTTCACATGTGACTAGATCGAAAAGAATCAAGTTTCCTGTCGACAATTACAAGTCAACATTAAATTCTGCGTATTATATATTTTCCTGTATTCCTTTTCATCACAATGGAGATGACAACCAAAGTAAAATATTTGTTGAGAACTTCCTTGAGAGGATTTTTGTTTTAATAAATAAAAATGAAAGGATTGAAACACGTACACATAGAATTTAATGGGAAGCAGATCTATACCAAACAACAAGACAAATGTTTTTTAAAATGTAATATAAAAAATAAAAAATATGAAGTAAATAATTGATTGATTGTATATTGTTTAACGTCCCTCTCTCAAATTTTCCACACAAATGGAAAGGCCACCACTTGCCGGTGGAGACCTGCAAATTTTGTCCTATACTTTGCGCTCAGAGCCATTGAGCAGGGAAGGGTTTTTTTTCGTGCCAGCACCTACTGCGAGACGGGGCCTCGGTTTATACAGTCACGTCTGATAAACCGGCCTCCACGTCAGACATATGTACAGTGAGATTTAAAACCGAGACGTAAGGATCAACTCCAGCACTGCGCCATACAAGTAAATGAAGTGAAAGAACTTGAAATACGCTAGGACATTTTAATTTTAAACTTTTCGCTCCGTTTATTCATAGGAGACCATATGGTGAAATTATAGTTGACTTCCTGAGAGAAAATGAAAAAATTTTAAAGTCAATAATACATACCAAAGCAGTCATTTTGTGTATCATTCAAAGATAACTAGAAAACAGATGAGAGAACCATTGGGTCTGCAAGATATTTTAAGCTAGACAACAAATATTCAACATGTGTTTATTTTTAGTGTTACTTGATAGTAAAAAGTAAAACAAAAAATCTTTTTACTCGTTATTAGAAAGAATTTTTACATCAACTCAAACAATGCATAGAAGTTGAATATCTTGAAAATTGGAAAAGCATTTCCTACCCATCCCATCTGTTTGAAGATGATACATGAAAAGAAATACTTAAATAGGTATTCAGGTATTCTCTAAACCAATTGTTCTATGCCATGGATACCATGTTTTCAGTAACATCCCCTTTTTAATCAAGAAGTATCAATTTACTCTCGATTTTATATCCATTTACATTGGAATGAAACAATGAATTAAATTATTTTCTATCTAAACTCTACAATTTTCATTGCAAACATGGCATGTGATTAATTCTTTTTTATTGAAATAAACTTAATATTATTTGGATTTTTTTAAACAAAGATTTAATCAAGAAATCGAAACCAATAAGGAAACCAATACTTATTCATCAGAAATAAAAAGGTAAAGGGAGAATATTTCTAAAGTGCTTGTTCAAAACAGAAAAAAATCCAATGGATGATTGATATATTTTTTTAACTTGAGAGCTATATTTAAACAGCCTCATTCCAATTAATTTAAAGTATAAATATTTATTTTTCAAATTTACCTGCTATTGATTAAACCAATTTTTCGAGGGATTTTCCCTACAAAACAAACCTGCTTTTAATTAAACCCAGTTATCCAAGGATTTCTCCCTAAAAAATACCCCATTAAAATGTGTTAGTACAGAAATCTTATATTATCAATACTGTGAAACGTGTTTCCTTATTAACAGTTTTCTCATATGACCTTGAAATTTATCATTTATTACATTGATATTTTTCGAAGTCCATTACGGGGTTAATATTGATGATTCCTGATATTTATAGGAGGAAAAAAACAGAACAAATGTTAGCAGAAAATACAATAAACCCTCTCTGATGCCTAACAGAATATGAATGATAGCAGTTAAAGATATATATGCCGTATTGGTGTTTTATTTAAAAAGAAATAAATATATGTGGTGTCTCATCAAGTTATATAAGTTATATACTTTCTGCAAATAAGACAATTCTACTCCATCACTTTTAAAAGATATGAAATATTATTTGGTAAATATTATTTTCTCTCCGAGTCGGATAATAAACCGCCTCTTATTGAAATATTCATGATCACGTGGTCTCGCATGCTCACAGCAAACAATGGTCCAGTCTCGTGAATGAACCGAAAAGCATGATGGTCTACTACGTTTTAACTACAAGCACGTGAGTTATGGATTGTCAATACGTGAACACACCTGAGTTGGTTGCTTATTGTACCGAATTGTTCATACTAATTGTTAGTCTATTATTTATACACTGAATTGACGACGGATTTTTCTGTTATTTCTCGATCATGACAATAGGTGTGATGGGTCGGCAGCTGGGGATGCTCACTACTCCATTATATCTGATACCACTTCTGATGTGTTGGAGGTTTGTGTTTGCTCTCCTCCTATTTTGTATCGTTTTACTGACTTTTGATGTTGAATACTGGTCGTTATCTCCATCCTTTTCATACATGTGCAATTGAATGAAATTTCATGAGACTTTCACAGACTCTGTTACATTGTGCCATTGTGCACCTCCTATTTCACTTTTTAATTGGACACATATTTTGAGTTTCCATTTGCAAAACGTCAACACTTCTGTTCGTTCTTTGATATTCATGGGTATCAATCCGTTATCCGCTAGAATAATTTCAAAATTTACATTATTTTTTATTTGAATTAATTTTTTATCTTTAATAACTATTGCCTCCGCGATAACTAAACCTGATTATATGAGGAAACATATTTGGAAGACTGTACATACAATTTATTCTATTCATATATCTGAAAATTGATTCTATCCACATGTATGTCTATTCATTCCTTTCACATATCAGACAATTTATACTATTCACATACCTGAAAAATTTATGCTATTCACATATATGACAATTCATTCTATTTACATATTTGACAATTTATTCTATTACTTGCACATATCTGGCAATATATTAGATTCACATATTTGACAATTAATTCTATTTGCATATCTGACACTTTATTATATTCAGGTATATCTGATACTTTATGCTGTTCAAGTATCCTTATCATATTAAGGTATTCAATGAAGGGATATTTTGAAAGATTTGAAATAATTTTAAACTAGTTAAAATGCATTGCTAGATAACGGTAAAAGTGAAATTAACCAAATTCACACGGCTGATAACATGTAAGAAGACAGTCATTTTGTACGTTCAAAATTTTTTGAAAAGTTATTTGACCTTGATGAAAATAAGAAAATTTTTGATTTCTCAGAATCGCTGTGGTGAATAATTTTTTTTATTTCATAATATAATAAAAAGGGAGTTTATGCATATTTTCACCAAGAGATTTGATTGAAATTAATTTTTTTTTTACAATATTTGATAAAAAAAAAACATGTGCTGCCCATAGACTTCAATGTAAAATTCAAGGTGCAATTAAATGGACAATAATCGGAATTTTGTACATTCCTTTGGCGAAGCATTTTTATTAGATGACTTCATTAAATTGCTACGTATACGTTGATTAAAACTATCGGACGATTCATTTTTTTTTGTACAAAGTATGGTCGTTAAACATTGAATACCATGAGTTAAAAATTTGAAATAAAAAAAATCAGATGAAAAAAAAGCTAATTTCTGTCCTGTATTTTATAATATAGGAATATAAAGACAGAAATGGTCAACCCACATTGTCACATTTACAGTGTTGTATTATTTATTTGTTTTGTAATGTATCTTAAATTTATTGCAAACATTGTTCTAGCTTTCTTCCGTCGTTTCTTTCAGTTATCCTATTCTGGATCTCTCAATCGAATGCCCTTCTTGGTAGCTCTCCATTGCCTGAATTTATTCACCTGAGTTTAAGTCTCTGTCCTTCTGAAAACCGATTTTCGGACGCATATCAACGTGCCTTGAATGAACAATTCCGTACTTGCAAATTTTGTAAAGGCAAAAGTTCTGGTCTTTTATATTATTAGAACAGACACTGACTTCTGAGGTTAGTTACATGTTTAATTTACATTTTCTCCGTTCTGTTAATTTATGGACCTGCAATAACTTTCATTTGTTATTTCAACTTTTTTTTTAATTTCACTTAATTTCGTTTAAATGTTCGTTCGTTTGTATAGTTGCAAGTTCTATAAGTAATAATATTATACTTTAATGTGAATAAGTTGCATCTGCTTGGTCGAGAAACATTTGTTAAAAAACAATATCACCCGCTTAATAATGTAGCCACGCTCTCCAGTGCTTGACGATGGGTGATATTCCAAAAAATAGCGACTGTGCAGAATGTATGCGCGCACGGTTCACTGTTATATGTATTTGTATAAAACAATCAGTATGATATAATAAATATTGAATGTAGTTAAATGTAAAATTGAAAATGTTCACCCCTCGGCTGCGCCTCGGTTGACAATGGTTTTCTTGGGGTAAAAATTTTCAATGTAACACTCAACTAAATGCAATATTTATATATTGTGTCTGTGAGTAGTATTAATCAATTGATAGCATCGGCACTAGTACTCCAGTACTTAGTTTCATTATGATCCTAAACAGTAAAGTAACTTTGTAAGTAAAGTTAATATGTATAAGTGTAAGTTATATTTAAAACAATTTACGTGTTCATATAACTATTGTGTAAAAGCATTAAATACAAGGTATGTAATGCTGCGCAGTGATGTTTATCCCTTTTTTATCCCATCATCATGCATATTTGGTTATGTTGGTCATAACTTGTATGCAAAATTGCTTTCTGTATTAACATGTAACTTAATATGTTAACTATATTTGTATTAGTAGGTCCCGATCCACGTTATAAGTGTCACGTATGGGTCCTATCTTCTGTGTTGTATGGTGTAGGGGGTATGGTGCAAAGTGGAACCGGAATATATTATGTACAATTGATAAATCTAGATAAAAGTGAAAATGTTATTGACATTTGTTGTTTTTTTCTTTACAATACTAAGAGATAAACCCCCAGCACTTGTATGGTATATACAGATAATCGCTAAATTACCCATCTAAACCTGGAAAATATTTTACACGGTTTACAAGTTATCAAGTAGATTATTACCCGCTCTTTCTACCTTTAAATGTAAAATTTGAATGTTTTCGAATATT